CGGCGGGTCGGAGGCCGGGGCGGCGGCGGGGCTGGGCTCACTGGGCGCTGGTCCCTCCCTGGCTGCTGCCCGAGTAGCTCCCGTAGTCGTAGTTGCCGTAGTAGGGAGGCCACTGGCTCTGGCTCTGGTAGTACTGGCTCCACTGCTGGGCGTACTGCGGGCAGAGCGGGGCATCAGCGCCGCCGGGCCCACACAGCAGAGCGGGGGCCCGGGCCCCATCCCCCCCCCACCTACCTGTTGGTACTGGTTGTAGTTCTGCTGATTGTAGGGCTGCGCTGGCGCCGGCGGCGGGGGCGGGGGCTGGGGGTAGCTTTGGCTGTAACCGCTGGTGCTCCCGTAGCTGTAGCTGGGAGTGTAGCCGCCCTGGCTGTAGCCCCCCTGGCTGTAGGGCTGGCTGTAAGTCGGCTGTCAGGGAAGACAGAAGGTCCCACAATCACCTCTGGGACCCCGGGGCGAGGGGGGGGGCAGGTTTGGGAGGCGGGGAGGGTAACTTTCAGTAGCCTATGCGTGTGGAGTGCCCCCCCCCCCGTGTAATGGAGAGGGAAGGACCCAGTCCTGTCCTGCTACAGCAGAAAGACCCCTGGAATGGGCGTCTGTGGGGGGGTCAGGGCAGAACAGCACTGTCCTTGGGTAATGGGGGCAGGACTGGGAGGATCAACCTTGCCCCCACGCAGGGATGCCAGGGCACAGCAATGAGGCTGGGGGTTGAGGGACCCTCCCCCCACGGCCTCATACCCCAGGGGGAACCTATTTGAGCAAGACTCCTGTGACCCCCGGAAGGGGGAGACCCGCTGAATGCGACACCCCCACAGTTGCCTCCATTTCAGTGCACCGCCCCAGTCCACCCTCACCCCCACCCGGCTGCACTCCAGCACCTCAATCACTTGGGCATCACCCCCAGTAGGATGGTCCCTGCACACGGGAGGCGGAAGCTGGAGCCCCCCAGTGACCAGGCCCCAGGGGGAGGAGGGAGCAGGAGGCTGGTTGCTAAGCAGCTGTTGCCACAGCCACGCTCCTTGGAGGTGCCCAATGGCAGTGGGGCAGGAAGCTCTGATGCCCCCACCATACCTGCTGGCCCTGGCTGTAGGTGGGGGGCGCCGTGCTGGTGTTGGTGGGGGCCACGGTGCTGGCGCTGACACTGCTGCCACCGCTGGCTTTGTAGGTGCTGGGTCCGCGGACAGGGCTGTAGCTGCTCGGGGGCTGCGCGTTGCGGCTGTAGCTGCCCCGGGTGCTGGTGTTGTTGTCCCTGGTGTTGTTCCCCCACCGATTTGGGGTGAAGCTGCCCCGGCTGAAGCCTGGCGGACAGGGCAGGGAGGGCTCAGACGACTGCAATCCTGTCCCCACGGCCCCCCGCCAGGGCAACAATAAGGGATGTCACGCCTCCCCCGCCTCGCCTCGCCCCACCCCACAAGAGGAGGTGCTCGACCTTTTGGCCTGGCAGAGCCCAGGCTATCTGCAAGTCAGATCCAGCTGCTGGCCCCGATCCTGCAATCTGGGGGGCAGCCCAGCCCTGCTAGGGGCGGCACTATTAACTGCCACTGGCCCCCTACTGCCAAGTGCCTGACCCATGGAGAGTCCTATGGGCCAGAGGTTGAAGGCCTCTGCTCTATGGAGCCCAGAGCTGGCCTGCGGGTGCCCAGTGCTGCCCACAACGCAGGCTGGTCCCTGCCCCCCAACACTGGGGGTGGGCATTAATCTGCCCCTGCCCCAGCCCCAGGGACCCCAAGCTTGGCACAAGGCTTCTTCGGCCCCGCAAAATCACCCCACCTCGGCGCGCAGCTGAGTCGCTATGACCAACCCCACCCCCCACCTCCACTGGGGCCCAGCCTCACTTCCACCACTGCCAGTG